CGTGTGAATCGTTGTGGTAACCCGATAGTCCCCAATGCCTTTGTCGTTGTTGTTGTAGTGTTGATGTGTTTGCTGGATTTTTGCTAGTCAAAGCTGTTTCAGTTTGGTTTTTACCAGATGTTTTTATGGTTGGAGGAATTAGGGTTTTTCTTTGTTTCCGATGTCTTTTTATGGAAATGGGGTTATCTGATGTTTTGTAGTTCTGGGAAAAATCCACGTGCTTAGTTTGTGTAGGTGGGCTATGGTGTCTGAGATTGGCGCTCACTGGATTGAGATGGATAGTTTTATGCCGTTGATGAAATCTGACTTTTTAGTCTTTTTGTAATCTTTGAAGTGAACAGAATATAGTGTTGTGTGTTATTTCAATATAATTACTGACTTCAGTGTCCTTTATTGGAACAAGGGGTGAAAATACCACAACCTTGGGCTGGGTGTCGTAATTTGTACCCAGATTTTCACTAGCATGTGAAGTTATGGAACAATTCTAACTTTGTGAATTGATTATGGGTACTTATGGAAATATCAAATTGCCCCATCAGTGCACAATGTTGTATGTGGTTGATCGATGCCACATACAAGTCTTGTACTAATTTAACCTCTTAAAATGTATCTGTTGTTTAAGTGGCTTTCTGGTTCCATGAGAAAATCATTTATTGCATTCAAGGGAAGATATGGTTCAAATAAGAAAATGTTATTGTTACTTTCTTTGTGTTTATTGGTTTTTTCTTAGTGCCGTTGAAGGATGTCGAACATCATAATAAAATATTCAGCAAATGTACTCGTTGTCAGTCACTTGAAGTTTTAGTGGTGGTCAATTAATTCCACTTATTCTCTTCAAGAGTTTTCAATAATTGAATTAGAGGATCCTATAATTCAGAGTTTTGAGACTGTAATTTCTAATTTTGTGAACATCTTTGATTGTGCAGGATCATCATGGCAATTTGAATGCAGCTGTGAATGCTTATTTCAGTGAAGGGGATAGAAACCTGTTAGTTTTTACTGCCTTCTTACTTATTTTTTGGTTACTAGGGCAGACCCTCAGTGACACCGTTTTGAAATTTAACCTATTATCAATGTTGCATCTTAATGTAGTGTGTGATGTAATTTTTTCTTTTTTTTTTTCCTTCTTCTGCATGTAGAACTCAAGAGGCATCTTTAGCTGCTCCTCTAGATGATATGGACATAGATGATTCAATACCACTTGAGTCCCACAGACCTCCTGCCTCATCACTCCCCCTTGCCAGAGATTTGAATCCTTTCTCTCTCCTTGATCCGAACTTCACCAGAAATATATTTGACATTGGTAGCGCTCCAGCTCCATCACCTTTTGTCTCACACCCAAGAGAGGTAAAGGAGATCCCAATTGAGGTGAAAGATGGGATTGGAGCATCAAGTCAATCTGGTGGTGCTCTCAAGATTGAAGATGTAACTGAAACTGCACGTGAACATGGCCCTGAAATTCGTGAAACAGCCATAATTGATGATAAAAATGACGAAAAAAGTTCACCGAATTCACCAATCACACAAGCTGTTGGACCAAGTGCTCCCACTATTGTGGATGTGCCCGACTACGGAAATGAGATAGAAGAAGAAATGATACGAGCTGCTATTGAGGCTTCGAAACAGGATGCTTCAGTGCCAAATCAACTAGTTGGCGATCATCTTGTATGAAGCATATTTACAAAGTCTGAGCTGCTAATAGTATTTGAATATTTGAAATGTTGATGTCATCTTTGTTCTGATGCAGGATGCCCAGTATCCCTCTTCTCAGCCTGGAGGACAGTCCCACCAAGAAGATGCTGACCTTGCACATGCAGTTTCATTGTCATTACAGGTTTTGCTTCAACTGTCTAAGATTGTTTTGATATCAATATCTTCTCCAGTTAACATGATTTGATTCTAGACTGCAGAGCGGGAAAAAGCGCTTAGGGAACAGGAAGGAAATATTGGAACCTCAGAAGTAGGTCAGATATCAAGTACTTCCCCTGAGGAGTGGGGTAGAATACTTTCCAATGGACGGTTAGTCATATCTGTCATCAATATTGTGTATTGGACTATGCTCTGCATGAGTGTCTCGACTCTCGATGTGCTCAAATGTATCTGAAAACTGTTCATTCCGCGGAGTTACCCAAGCATTCGGTGTCTGCAGGCAATCTCAGTTGGAGCATGGAGGCACATCCCTCCAAGATGAAGCTGATGATGTAGAAGAGCTGCCACTGGTTAGGCATAGGAGAAGACGCGTGTCTTCAGGTCTTATTGACACTGCAAATAATATTGAAGAAGATGAGGTCAGCCCGCCTTCAAGTCCTCCACAGCATGATCATGTTCATGATCCGCAGCATGATAGAAGTGAATTCCCCTCTGAGGTGGTAATTCTTGGGTTGATATTCCTTGCATACTATTTTTGTGATCTGTTAAGAACAAATTTTTTTTCTTCGATCAATTGGGAATAATTATATTTTCTTTTTTATTTGTTCAAAAGTGGGGTGGCATCTCTTCAGAGGAACATGATGAAGCTGTAATGCTTGAGGCTGCAATTATGGGAATTTCGTATGAACCTCATCAGCTGATGAGAAATGGTTTAGGTACTGCAGTGGATCCCTATCCTTGGCGTATGCCTCGTCCTCCATCACCTTCACTTGCTGCTCAGCGACTCATACGAGAACAACAGGTCTACTCTCTGAGCTTGTAGTCCTAGCTAAATTTCCAGTTTGCTTGGTTACCAATCTTTAAATTTATGCAGGACGATGAGTATCTTGCTGCTTTACAAGCTGACAGAGAAAAAGAACTGAAGGCTAAGGAAGAAGCTGAAGCTGCTCTGGCAGAAGAGAAACGCAAAGAGGATGAATTGCGCAGAAAACAGCTAGAGGAAGAGGTATTTAATTTTGGGATTTTGATCTTACTTTAAGCCACTTCTATTGACTTGAGTTTCTGTATTGCAAGAACTTTGGAAAAGTGATGTATGCACATATATACAATCTGGGGAACTGAATCCCACGTGCCAGTGGGATAAGAGTTTTTTTTTTTTTAATTGCTCCTACTGATGTTCAATATATATGTATATGCTGTCTTGTGGACTTGTGACATGCAAATTTAATCCAGATATGAAAATTCTGCTGGTGAATGTTTTATGCTGTCAGATAATGCTGCCAAATTGATTCTGCCTCTGGTTTGAGGGTCCATGTGGTTTTTCCTCATTTTTGTAGGAAGTTGAGAGACAACTAGCAGCGAAGGAAGCTTCTCTTCCACAAGAGCCAACAGCAGAGGATGAGAATGCTGTTACACTCCTTGTGCGCATGCCAGATGGAACTAGGAGAGGACGCCGATTTCTGAAGTCAGACAAGCTACAGGTAACCTTTCAACTGAGATGTGCATGAGCCTTTCGGAGCTGCAAATAAATATTTGATGCTCACATATTCAATTATCACGCACCTTTTGTATGAGAGAAGCACATATGCCCACATGCCATTGGAGGTATGCAAAGGACACTTTGAAAATAATTTTTTGAATAGGTTCAATTCTTTCATTTACCTTATGGTTTCTTGGTTAAATTTCTTTCAAAAAGATGAGAACATCGGTAGAGTGAACGATAGAGAATTAAAGCGGTTAAAATATCAACAACCAATTTCTCTATTAATATTTGAAAATTCATTAAAAGTTCTTTCCCCTTTTCATTATTCTAAAACTGTATTCAATATCTTGTTTACTGTTTTGTTATGGTTATTATTGAATTGGGAAACATACTCAAAACACATTTGAAATTAAAAACATAAATATGATGAGATATGTAAATTAGTTTGCGAGGAATCCCTGGTGTGGTAGATATATGTCATGTGAGTTGCTTTTTTGCATGTATATGATCTGATGCTGAAAATTGAATTTCATGATTATTAAATGCCTCGTAAGCTCACATTATTTTTCTCTATTTCTTTACAGTTTCTGTTCGACTTCATCGATGTTGGCAGAGTGGTTAAATCTGGCAGTTACAGATTGGTAATCATTAAGCCAACTGGTTGATAATAACATATTGTTCTTGGCATCACCCTGAAACTTCTCAAATTATAAAACATAATCTATTGAAAAATGACTGCTATATTAACAAGTGTAGATTGCAAATGAATTATAATATGGTTTTCATAGTCTGGTTTTTTTTTTTTCTTTTTTTTTTTTTTTTTTTTTAATTTATTTTAATCAGGTGAGGCCATATCCTCGGCATGCATTCAGTGACGGAGAGAGTACTTCGTCTCTGCATGACTTGGGTCTAACCAGCAAACAAGAAGCCTTGTATCTGGAGTTGATCTAGCCTTTTATGCTTATATTGTAAAGTTTCTGAAGATGCAGGCAACACTCTTTTAACTGCAACTATCATGAGTGGAGATGCCGAATTCTTGGTCTGGTTTATTGCGTTTGGTTGGATGACATTCATTATTTGGTCGGGAAAAAATAATATTATTTCTCAGATATATGATGATTCTCGAGTATGATTTATATGGCGAACACATGAATTAGACCCGGAAAACAGTTTGAAAGGTTGGCCGATTGAGACGATTCTTGGGTACGTGTTTTCGTGAAAAGCTTTGGAACTAACGGAATTATATATATGCCTGATACTGAAAATTGATCAACTTGATCAACTGTGACATTTCAGATCATTTTTAGCTCATGGAGTGAATATGGTACAGTACTTTATAATTCTATGCTTGATTGAGTACATAACATGTGCGGAAAAATAGTAATTAGTGAAGAAATATCGATTAGTATAAAATCATTTTGAATATTAATATTAATTTTATATATATATATATATTTTTTTTAGGTTTTATGATATATATAATTGTTTAATATTTAATTTATATGTGTATCTGACCAATTATAAAATAGTTGTTATTTTAGATTTCTATAAAGTGAATATTTAACATATTTAATCATCATCAATAAATAATACTCAAAAAAATCCTTCAATATTTTTTCCCCCATTCATACATTTTTATAATATATTATTTCAATTTTTAAATAAGTCATGGTAAAATTGAATAACTGGGGCAAATATTATAAACTGACGATTAATTTAAAAAGATTGTAGTGTATATTATTTTGAAGTTAAAAAATTTATTAATTTTAATTATGTTAAAAATACTTTATTTTTTTATGATAATGTATATTATAAATATTATATATATTCTTTCTAATATATTAATTCACATGACGGTTCAATATTGGTTGATTATCATTATAATTTATAACAATATATATTACAAATATTATAATTTTTCTTCGACGCGTTTTTCAATGAATTTTGATAAATTTTTTTTCTAAGGTAACAATTTATAATCGTTGTTGGACAGATGACTAGTAGATTTATAATATATAACAATACATATTATAAATATTTTATTTTTGCTTTCTAAGTTAATAAAATACTTGAATAATGACATACATCATTTTTACGTGCATTTTATAGTGATTTTCGTACCCGTTTCGTTGTCGTTTGTATATAATTAATTATTTATTTAATTACTTTTATTAAGTTATGATTAAGTGTGTTATTTTGAGTTTTAATAGGAAATAGGTTCAGAATAATTATTGGAGTCGAAAACGGCGTGATAAGGATACAAACTATGTGTGACTGCGAGCAGTGCAGTGGGACGGGCCCAATTATACAACCCATTTTATTTCCTTTTTTGGGCCGGAAAACTAGCCCAACAAGGCCCACAATACAAGTCCAGCCCAAAATGGATATTTAAGTGAGGGTAAAAAGGACATTTTCGAAATGCATGGTGTACTGGTGTCTTCTTCAACATGAAGCTTGAACCTCAAGTATGCCATTGTTGAGCTGCTGTAGCTCGACCAAGCCTTCCACCAAACCAACTCTCTGCCACGAAGCTGACCGGAGCGCCTTTCGGCCGCTGCTCATCTCCCATGTCCTTGAACTCCGACGTCCTGATGCCTCCGAAGAGACGCTAGTTGCTACATGTTAGAACTTCGCCGGAGAGACAACACCCAGTTGTGGCCGAGATCACGGTCAAAACATAAGACACATAAAAACTCACATGAACATAAAAGAGCACGATCTTGTTTGGTTTTGTACAATTGACAACTTGTGCTATTTTATTGCTTAAATAAAGGATTACAAGAAACTAATTAAGACCTGAGAATCAAGATTACAAGGAAGTTATAATCATACCAATATTCACAACTAATAAAGGGAAACAATTAGGGAAAGCAAATAAACTAAATTAGGGTGCACAAGGATTATATCCTATAATAGAATATTTCCTACAATCTCCTCCTAATTGGACATTGATGATACTGATCAGGCCGATCTTAGAGCGCAGTTCATGGATCTTGGTCCTCCCAAGTAGTTTCGTCAGAATGTCGTCCAGTTGTTCTTCGTTTTTGATGAACTCGACATTAATCAAGCATGCGTACTCTCGGACAAAATGATATTTCACTCGAATGTACTTGCTCTGTCCATGGAGTACTGAGCTCTTGATTAAGGCAATGACAGACTTGTTGTCCACCCTCAACTTTGGTGTTCTTGGTGTTGTTCCCTACACCTTAGCCAACACCCGAGTAAGCCGCAATGCTTGACTAGCAGCATTCGCGCTCTTGCTTGACTTATGAATTATTTAAAAATGAAGTATTGCCATAAGTTCTAAAATAAATACATTTACACATTTGTCAATATATTAACTAATAGATATTTTTTGTAAGAAATGGTCAAATAGAAATTTTGAGAAATTTTATTATCTCTCAAATATATAAATACATTTAGACATGTGTCAATATATTAATTTATGGATATTTTTGTAAGAAATGGTTCGAGAAAAACTTTGAGAAAATTTATTAGATATCTTTCAAATATACAGATTACCACACACACAAATTCGTGCACTGAAGCATGAATATAGTTTTTACTCAACAAATTGAATATATATATATATATATATATATATATATATATATGTAGGTGTTATAAATATTTAAAACAAATATTGTTATTGAAATCAATATAATTTATTAACATGACATGATAAGAACATTTATAGCTGCAGTAAACAGAATGCAGATGCAGCTGTTAGTTAGAAAAATCAATTATATTCATATATATGTATCAAACATTATAATAACACATGCAAGTAACGAAAGTACTGTACTAACCTAATTTGAATTACATTAGATTCTTCAATTTGCCAGCTGGCGGCTTGTTGAATGATTAGATCAATAACTGTACGTATTGCCACATATGTATGTAGCTCCATATATAATGCTATAATGGCTTGATAATTATAAGATGTCACTTACCTTATCAAAAAAAAATGTTTGTTTAATTTTAAAATTTGTGTTGATAAAATTTCGAAGATAAGGACAAAAATAGCGAAAACATATTTTCTAAGAAAAAATAACAGCAAATTCCTCTAAATCCCTAAGTCCTCTTTTAAATTCATGTTCAGTCCCCTATCTTTATTTATTTCCACTGCACTCCCCACCCCCTTATATTTGTTCCATTTTACTCCCCATATAAATACAAGTAATAAACTTATTCACTTTCT